AGAACAACAATGCATTGCGGCATAAACGGATGAATTAGGAAATGTTTTACAAATTTAAAATACAATATATACAAACATTCATATCAAATAACATCGAAATTAAAGAATTGAACCTGAATGACTAAATTGTTAAAAACAATATTCAACTTCGAAATTTGTATTTCATTTTTGATCTTCCGAAATCATTTGATATAAAAAGGAGATACACAAAAGTGAAGAAGAACATGATGATGATGTAAAGCAAAGAAAGAAAAGAAAAGTTGATGGTAAGATGGTAAGAGGATAGACAGAGGGTATAGTAACACTATCCTAAGGTATCGATATCAATATTCAAGCATTACACATTATACAAATTACAAATGATAGAGGCGAAGTTATTATGCGAATACTTATATGACAAATTGTACACATTTATATTTTCCTCTAGGTAATAGCTACTACAAGAAAAAGGTTATGTTTTATCCAAACTGTAAAAAAAGGGGAATTATTAGAAGAAGTAAAAGTAGAAGAAGAAAGAGGGAAAAGAGAATTGAGAAAAAAGGAGATGGGTGAGATGCCTAGCTGCCTTCCTCTTTATCTCTTGCTCTGTCTCGATCTGCCTCTCTATTCCTGTATAGTCTCCCCCTTTCTCTCTGCATCATCCCAGTGTCTCATTTATTAGTGTATTACATGTATACAAATCAAATCAAAGGAAATTTGAGGCAATTTCCATCGTTTAGCCATTCACTGCCATGCAAACTAACAATCATTTCTAGAATTAACATCTTATAGATGTTGGTTTATGGATGGGTAAAATATAAATATCTTACTCATATTTTATATTGAATCAGGACTAAATAAATCACTGTGTTCATGTTTAATTGATAAAAAAAGGGCTTAAAAACTTTATTTGCATGTTATCTCAAGACTTGACAGATGGCACACGGAAGCATTCACATCCTTAGTGCGTCAAAACGTTATTCAAACGGTAGATCTTTCTTTCCAATACGGAACGGTCAATAAGCAGCATGAAACGTAGTTAAGATATAGTCCTTATTAGTCATAATCAGCTCTATTGACGTCATTGTTGCCTATTTAGTGCGTCGAAATATCACTTCAATGATTGATATAAGTATATCTCTGCAATGTTTAGTAATAGCAGGGCACTCTCCCTGGTAATAGTTAACAGTTATCATATATAACGCTCCTCAATCGAAAACATGAAGGGGGCGCTGTGCCACTTTCAATCATGGTCATCATTTTAATATCGTCATCATCGTATTCATGAACATAATCGTTTTTTGATTATCGGCAACACTTTCATGACCAGTATTCAAAAGAACTTATTTATGCTAGAAATATGAAAGGCATTGTTCTCAATTGCATCTCTCTCTCTCCTCTCTCTTGCTGTGTTTCCCTTCTCCCCTCATGTTCTGCCCCTCTCCTTTACTTGGTCTGTCTCTGCATCTCTCTCTCACTCTCTATCTCTCTTTCTCTCTCTACACTTTTATCCTCTCTCTCTCTCTCTCTCTTTCTCTTGCCTTGCCTTCTTCTTATTATATTGCTCTGTCTCCCTCTGTTCTACACAGTTGAAACTTGACTCATGGATATACCATAATGGAAGTAGTATTTTATAACGAAAGATGAAATCGTGAAAATGCGTTCTTCATTATGTTACACATGAGTATAATTACGTATCACCTAATTCGTCAAAGTGACGAATTAAAGTCTAGTTTTTTTTTCTTCTACAGACTGGGCTTGCGATTTCAAAAATGATACCTGTGGACTAATAATCAATGAAGGAAGCTGGATCAGCGGTGAGCAGGCAAATTATTGTAAGTATATTAACACAATTAGATTGCGTTAACTGTATAAGGTCATTGCCTATGTATTGTATTATAGAGAAATCGACTGCTACTAGAGGACTGGCTGTTTTTAAACGCTCAAGGGAAATTTGCCTCCGCTGCTATCACCCCGAGGCGCCCCTGGGTGGGTGGCGCGCCGAGGGGTGATATCAGCGGAGGAAAATTTCCCTTGAGCGTATAAAAACAGTCAGTCCTCGAGTATTAAAACAGTCGATATCCCTTTTATATGCCGAATCGAAACAAAACAAATTTATCAAGAATTCTTACCTTATCCTTTTATCTAGTGAAGATTGGTTAAAACATCACGAAAAATCTGATAATCTGTCTGTTTATCACCGCCCGAAAAATGACTGAAATTTGCGATAAGTTGAGAATCGCAGACAAAAAAGCACTGTATGATGTCCGCGCTCGCTCAAAGAACATTTTAACACGTAAACCAATAGGTATCGCAGCAAGATTTTACTATTTTCCCGGTAACTGGAATTTTGCCGGGATTTTACTCTTGGACTAATAAATGGTTTGGGCATTTTTCGTTTCTTTACGGGAATGGCTAAAATCACGACTGCAATTTCGACCAATCAGATGGCTGGATTTCTCAAGTAAGGTATATAAAATTGTATTACATACATCTTATATTTAACTTGATAGACCTATCAAGTTATGACAGGGACGTGGGCCTGTTTATCTTTCTTCTTCCACGGATATACTCAAATAGATATAGAAGCCCTAATTCAAAAGAGCAGCATATTTTTGTTCGCCCTTTTAAAAGCGTTTACTGGAGTAAACTCTAATTTTCAATGATTTTTACAGATACATTAAATATGTCATTACGTGCTTAGATTACACTCAAATCTTCACAAATGTAACATACACTTTCGCTCATATAGTTGGAATATTTTTGTTTTACCCAAATTTTTGGAATTATTTTAAAAATAATTTATTCCTAATAGATCTAGATAATAGTATACATTCTCAGATTATATTGAATAATAATTTTGCCAATGTGTGTTTTGCGTGACTGCTAAAGCATGTGTATGCTACTATGCTTATCAACTAGGGGACCTACGTCCTTAAGTCATAAATGACAGTAATGAGGATTAATGCCCCACAAAAGGGCACTCATATAGCACATCGACACGGTTTTGATCCTGGGGCCTCACAGTGACGAGGCCATTGCTTTGTCACTGAGCCATGACTGTACGCAGCGGGCCTAGGGTAGGGGGCAGTTTCCATAAATTTATTTTTAAAAAGAACATGCAATAAATGTTCAATAATTTATTGCATTTTACCCCAGTCCCCAACATAAACAAATTCTCTGTACGGCCATGCATTATGGCTCAAGGCATGGGCACGTGTATTTGCAGTGCTAATTACTTTGCTGAAACGTGGTAAAATTAAATGACACGGGAAAAAAGCAAGAGGAAGAAGAAAATTCGTCACTTGTTTTATTCATGAGTGGTTGGAGAATAAATTTCTTTCCATTAGAAGTCAAAGTATTTTTTATATTTCATAAAGTATGGAATTTATTTGGTATATTTCAGCTTTACGAAGTTTAATTTGTCTTGCATTGAAACGCTATAAGTATTTAACATCCTGTTGTGGTTCGCTGATTAGACGATTTTCTTTTGGTCATGTTGATATCGCTAAAGCCTGTCACCGGTACTCAAAAAAACTATATTACAGATATTAAGGCCATTAAACTGATGTTACTTTAATTATTTAATACATGTACCTGAGTGCCAGTATATTTTTGTCTTGAATTGTGGGCATTGGACGATCCAGAAGAGGGAAAGGTTGCGTGCGCTATCTTTGGGAGTACGCTATTATTTATTGATCCGTTACCGCATTATCAAACACGTATTAAAGGTTTTACACCTTCCACTTTTATAATTTAATACACTTTATTATTTGGGTAGGAACTAATGTAGCAATACACCATGTACACGTATTTAGCTCTAAGTGTACGTGCTACCTCATTATAGAAATCCCAGGTAAGCTCCGAGGGTCGGGGGTTCATCTCCTTTTTCTTTTTATTATACACATTATTTTGTTAATATATTTGTTTTGTTGTTTTTTTCTCCCTCTCTTAGATTATATTGAGGCAAATGAAAGTGGGTCCAGTTTCACAATTCTCCATGTTTTCACTTCAGAGGAGGGATCGCTCTCGTTTGGTCTTTACCAGGCATCTACACTTAGTGGAGGTGTCAGTGTGACAGTGTGCAAGAGCCAAGACCCTTCATCATTTAGCATCCTATTTGGACGTGTTGTATATGAATATATACAGTATTCTTGTAGCGGGATCCAAGATATTGAGGTGCTAAAATAGTTATTGGTTTCCTTTTACACAACATAACGACGTTTTTTGTACATGTGTTATCCATAGAGATGGGGGTTTCTTGCCATGATCAAAGAGGAGGGGGGGGGAGCAGTCAATAAAGCATTATTTTTGCACCAGGTATTATAAGGGATTTTGACACCCCCCCCCCCCCTTATTTCCTATTTAAACACATACACATTCACACAAAGAGTGCACATTCCTCCACCAATAAATAATTTGTGTTTTGTCAATATAAATTTGTATTGGTGTCCTTCTCACAGGTAAATCTATGTCTCATCAGGTGTGCGCACCCCCCTTTTTCTCTCTCTCTCTCTCTCTCTCTTCTCTCTCTCTCTTTATTTCTCCTCTTCTACCCTCTTCTCCTCTATTCTCTTAATTGGATAAGCAACGTTAAATCATAACTAATATGTCTTTATTTAATACTCCGTGTATACATTTATTTTGATTTTATTATTGCGACGTTGTACGACCTCTGTATTATTTACGCTTGAATGCTCTGTAAAATCTTCAAAATCGAGTTAAATTGTAAAAATAATTCATATTCAATTTGTAATAACATATCTTTAGTTGTATTTATTTCATTACTTTCATTTTGTACCCTTCCAACTATACATGTAATTTCAGGATTATTATCGTCATTTTTCATTACTGAAGTAAACGATAATGTCCCTCAAGGCAATACCAATACTTATCATATTATCGACCTCAGTATTAATGAGAGATCTTTTAAGACTACACTGTCATGACTGTCACAATGGTTTATTTAAGCTATTGCATTATAATTTGCACTTATTTCTTCCCCTTTTGTTAAGGTAAAATTCACCGAGTCAGGCTCACAATTTACAAGGATCCGCGTTTTTGATATCCAGCTGTATGAAAAACCTGGTCTCTCCACCGGTAACAAAGTTTTCACATGAAATGACGTAGTAGTAGTATTAGTCTTGTTATTATAATTATCATTATTCATATTTTTATTTTCATCATTTGTTTTTAAAAACATTGTTGTTGTTGTGGTGGGTGTTTTTTTATGCTGATGTTGCTGCTTCTGATGTCGCTGCTCTATATGTTGTTATTTTGTTGCTATTTTTATCATTATCGTCCTATTACTTCTCAAAATAATGTAGAACAAAGACAAAGTTGCATACAATTGGAAAATGAGCATTCTTATGTTTTGAGCATATTCAGTAGTATAACTATGAATTGAATTCCTTTTTAGGTATTAAGTGCATGTTTACTGAGGCATAATTACAATCCATGTCATGTCCTCCCCCCCCCCCCCCCCCCCTTCCTCGAACCTCTGAATGATTTTTTTTTTTTCCTGAACAAAAGTGGTAGTAAACACATTGCAGTAAAAATAGCAAGTACAAAACCCAAAGGAATCGCTGTCTTTTCAAAATCGCTACGCTAGAGTTACTATACAAATAGGCCATAATCAATAAATCCTCATTGCAAATCACTCTGAAACATCTCCCTTTGGGTTCAGCCTAACCGCAGGCGGAGGTCAGCCCTGCATGGTAGAGGGGATTTCATTCATAATGCCCTCTAGCGTTCTAAAGGGGAAAGTCTTGTTGTTGTTTAATAGTGGAATATGCACGCCGTGTATTACCGCTGGCCTGAAACACCAAGTAGGATTCCTGCCGACACATGTAATGATAAGTTTGAAGAACAGTTATCAATGTATCATTTCGTTCATTTTCTGACACAATTATTATGCATTTGTTCAAATTTATGTTGCTTCAACGAAGGGTTTGAAAAGGAAAGAAAAAAAAGACTTGGCATGCTCTCAAACTTTGCTGGATCCTGACCCATATTAAACATGGATTGAATAAATTGTTTGTGCACTGGAAAGCCAATATTGTTGCGCAAATTTTGACACCAAATTTATTTGGGCTCAAAAATAAAACTATGTATCAAAAATCAAGTTGTTTTCAAAGTTTTTATCTTTCAGATATTAACCATGATATTGCCAAAAAACAGAGCGCAAAAAAGTGATAAAATGAAGGAGATATCGTCGTTTGAAAATGTGCCTTCTCGGAGAGCTCTACGGCACAGGTCAAACCGGTCCGAGTACGCCGTATTAATAGAATAAACGTGATTTTGCACGCCTGCCGGTAGGCTGTGTTACGATTTGAATAAAAAATAAGTTGAACGTACGACTTTTTCCTTTGACGTCCCGATTCTTTAACTTTTCCTTTAGATTGTTGTATTAATCCGAGATCTGCATGTACCGCCATTTTTCGTTAACACTCAGTGTTCAATGTTTGGTAAGTTAGAATACCAATGGGCCATCAAACAGCAAGAATAATCACAAACCTAAAGGCCTTGTGTAAGTTAAGAGTAGCCTGACTACGTAAACATATTTTGTAGACCACCAAATGGAACTTCATTGAACGTCTGTACTTTAACTTTCTCTATAGATTATAACACGAATTTTATTGTTAGAATTATGATTAACAGCGCTGGCTTTCAAATTAATACGGCCTTTTTTTTTTCTAAGACGACCAGGGTATATCTTACTTCCTGAGTCATACACAATTTATATAATTGCATTCATGATTCTTTTCTGAACAGCGTCACCACCAAGAGTAAGCACGAATGCTACACCATTCCAAAGTACCATGCCCGGATCTGAACCAAAAGATGCATCAACTCAAGGCCCAGGTAAATACTATGATTAAATTCAGATGATTATATGACACGTAAATATCACGTTTATTGTGTGACGATTTATATATGTTTTTTGTAAACGTCTTAGCCTCTTGAAAGATGTGAAAAATTGTATACATATATTTATTTCCACGATAAATGATTTACATTTATAGCTTTAACATGTCATGTCTTAATTCCTATTATTTGTTCACATAATGTGCTGAACGGAAGGGTGGAAACAAATTGAAGACACTTTCATTAGCATTATTTGTTCGTCTTATTCATTCAATTCAAGTGCCGCATTATATTCATTGAATCTTTCAAATAAAGAGTTCTTATACGCCAATGTAAAATAATGTAGTGAATTAATTATTGAGTTGTTAACTACATCAATCATGTTAATATATAAAACAGTGCCACCCGGAACTACAACTCCAAACTCTGTTTCCAAGCAATCAACTGTTACCGGTTTCGTACCAAGCGCATCAACTTTGGGTGGGATATCAACTCAAAACCCAACAAACCCAACCAGTGTGGACCCTTCTGAGGGACAAGCGAGCAACGCACCAACTTCTCCGGGAACTGAGGGCCCAAATAATCCCAGAACCAATGACAAAGCATCAACCTTGACTCCTACCACGCCAACGGTTACACTACCAGCTGCAGAAGAGCTAGGAGGTTCGATTTCCTATTAATTTTCCGGATCTTTAACAACGTTTGGGGGTCAGAATCATCATAAAAGTCTTCGTCGTTTCGATTTCGTTTACTTGAAACCTGTTAAAAGGATCAGGATTTGTTCACATCTGTGACAACTTTTTTTGTAGAATTAACCTAATATCGTTGATGTGTACATTAAAGCTTTCTATGGTGATGGTTATATTTCAACGTATATATTATTAGGTAGAAAGTATTTCAAGTGTTATTTTTGAGATGTAGAACAAGAAGATACGTGACTTTTTATATTTTAATTTTCAATCTTATAGGAGGCTCCAACCCATCTTTAATTCCAGCATTGTCTTCGGCCATTGTGTTAATCCTGATCATCATGGTTATAATAGCTGTCTTTGTGCTTAGACGCAGGAGGTATGTAGTGTGCATAATTCAAATATAAGATAGGAAACATAGACATATAAAAAACAGTAGCCTATAATGACTAGTTCAACGGGTGAAAATAAAAAGTTTCACAATTGTACAACTCCTAAATCTAAAGAAATGTTCATAATTTACAAATCTCAAGTCCTGTCTGCAAAGATCTGAATTGTAACGAGTAGCAGCGATTTCGATGGTATGACAACCAAAATGTATTAATGTATTTATGTAGTTAGAATGTGGAACACATACCTCAGAAGTATGGGACACAAAGATGAGAGAAGGAAAATAAAAAGGAATGTTTCAAGAGATTTTTTTTTTAATAAACAAGACGAATTGAAAGGGAAAAAAGGGATATAAAAAGAGAAAGGCAGAGAAAAATCAAACAGGGAAAAAAGAGAGAACGTTGGTCTCGTTGGCTGTTGGTATTCGGAACGATTTAAAATGACAAGGAGGCATACGAGTCAGACACTGAAACGTAGCGATCAACATCCTATGAAACTGAACACGTCTATCTTTCTCTTCAGTCTCGTGGTCTTTAGAGTCACTTTTAAGGGGGTATTAGACCGATAGGCTAGAGATCCATATTTTCGGTCAAAGTAACTTTCGAGAAGGTGACAAGAAGACCAATGAGACTAATATTGTCGGTCTAGCTGGCTTTGGTATCCATGTATACGGTCTGCGATCGTAGATTGTCGATTAGTGACTTATCCAATGCAACATTTTCTTTAACAGGTTCCGAGACCCGAAGGTGACTGAGCCAGTGGATCAAGAGGACGACGACCCTAATTTGTACAACAACCCAGTCTACTGTTCTAAAGATGACGGTCTTCCTATTCCAGATCTTATCATCAGTACGAACTCCCACACCGGCAGTTTATCCCAAGCACGGCATCCGTCGACTTACATGGACAATCAATATGAAGAGTTTGAAGGCGATCGTCACCCTGTAACCAACGCAGATGGTTCTGCGTCACACCCGGATGCCCTTAGAGACACCACGGCAGAGAGTAACACGCTGAACTCAAATCCATATTATACACTCGAAGATCCATCCAATCAGGGTGGAAACACTAAGGCCCATGACGAAGGAGACTATCATACTTATGAACAAGCCCAAGGACCACAAACCTCAAAGAAGCCCGGCAGAATAAACAAGGGACAAACAGGAACCGATGACGTTTATCAGGAGTTGAACAATACGTCACTATCAATTGATCCATACTCTTCCCTTGCTAGTCCGAACAGCGGTTTGCCCAAGAAAGAACTGCATAATGGTGGGACACAGGGACAATCGGATGGTTCTGCTGTTCTCGACGATGAGGAGGAGTACAATGCGCTTACTTTCAATAAATCGTCAGATATCACGCGGGCGCTGAAGAAACCAATTTCTGGTGGTGAGAATGTGAACAATGGCTATGGTGTCCTTGACCTGCCAGAGCAGAAAGACTTTAAAGTATCTGTCAACCCTCCCCAACTTCACAACGACGATGTGTATAATACCCTTGAGGAGGGTCCACAAGAGCCAATGAACGGAAAACAACAAGCTACAGACCAATCTTCCGGATACCAAGCTCTTAAGCTTGGACAATCGAACATTCCAATATCTCACCGAGTTCTTAACCTCAAGATGGGATCTACAGACGATGGGTCCACTGGAGGATACCAAAGTCTTTCACCAGGCACCAGAGGTCCAGGACCTAAGGCAGGATCATACGAAGGGGATCAACCGGGTGATGAATCAGAATACCATAGCTACCAAGACCCGAGTCAAATGAACCAAGATGGATCTGCTCGCACACCTACAGAGCTACATGTCTTCTCAAGTGACAATTACAATATTCTCAATTCTGTAAAAGAAGTTGGAGATTACCATGGCTACCAAGACCCGAGTGAAATGAACCAGGATGGATCTGCTCGCACACCTACAGAGCAGGATGTCTTCTCAAGCAACAAGTACAATGTTCTCAATTCTGGAAAAGAAGTTGGAGATTACCATGTCTACCAAGCGACGGATGATACTGGTGTGGATGAAGTGAATTACGAAAATTTAGACTCCAAGATGAGTCGTGAGGATGAATATTCTGAGATAGATCAGAGCCAAAACCACGCGCCCTGGACAATAGATAATGCCACATTCGAACCGATATATAGCGATGAAGTGTACTCGGAATTTCAGTGAACTTAGGGCAGCCTTCAACTGGCTAAAACACTAGTGTATGATTAAACATGTAGAAGCGCTGTGATGACAAAGGTCATTGCCTCATTGTTAACACTGTATGATAAACAAGCGAGTGATGTATGTGCTACCACAATAATGTTCTTTTCGGGAAATACAAGCTTTGTAAATATAGCAGTAAACTAGGAGGTTTGAAATGTGCATTATATCGTAGGCCCTATTTCACGTAAATTATTCAGGACTAACGATTTACATGAAACAAAATATGTCCGGTGCGGAGTGTCCTTAAATATTTTCCTATACGTGCGAATATTGTCAGCTTATGTAATATCAAATGTGAAGGTGGATGTATGCGAGTGAGCGTGTGTGCTTGTGTATGCGTGATTGGATGTGTGTGTAGATGGTTTGTATGAGGGAAAATATGCAGAATCCTTTCTTTGTGAGAAAAATATTAATTCCGAGAAAAAATATTTAAGTAGAAGGTTTTTCATATGAGTGATACACTTTCCTGTGTTTTAATGGCAGACTCGTGTATGCACTAAGTAGCTTGTATTAGCATGTATCTGGTTCGGTCGTATTGTTTTTACATTTTTAAGTACCCTGATTATCTTTATTTCAAGGAATTAATTTACTATGCTGTACATAAATACAACGACATTCTCTTTGTATATAGGATTTTAATTATTTCAATTTGTCATTTGTAAGACAATTTACAACAAAGATCTTGAGGCGATGTTAATTCAGTGTTATAATTTCCAATACACCGCTGTTCATATGAGCCCATTGCTTACTGGAACCTGGTTGTCTCTGTGTTAAGTCTATGGGAATTACAGAATTCAGTAGTCAACGGGTTAATCGTTTTCTTTTCACCATTAGCATTGGATAAAGCCATTTCGCATTTGTGCTTTTATTTCAATGTAGGCAGTTTCATAGGTACGGGCAGGAGCGTCATGGGGTGCGGGTGTTGTGCCTGTAATCACGTAGCATGCACTGTCAAATTTGAAAATAATCTTACCATTTGTTTATTACCCATTTAATATAGCGAACTTGAAAATATGATCATTGTGGGGGAAATGCGAAGAAGAGTGACATCAATATGACGCGTTATTAACTAAATTGTTCGTTCCCTTAGGATCAGCAGCGATACAAATAATAAACTTTATTAAGAAATATAACCGGAAACATACGTGAGTGTATCTATTGTAATTGTGACGGGAGTAATGGTAATATTCGAAATGAAGTTCGTGAAATTGAATCTTTAATTCTGAATTTCAGCAATTCCATATCATAACTCGTTGTTATAATCGTTGTCATGTAATAAATAATCACTTTTGATCAGCTACTATATGAATATGAGTATAGTTGTGTTGTTGAAAATTCTTCACCTAAAGGAAAATTGTCATGAAACATACATTTTTTTTCTATTGACCTTTTACCCATATCTGAAAATAACAATCGAAGAACACCAACCGCAAGGACAGACCAGATCCTCCCACACCGTTAAAACACATCAGGAACTCTACTTTTGTGTAAAGAAGTATTCATAATCACACAATTTGTATGAAACGGAATCGTTTTAATATTTGCACATCGCAACAAGCAACCGATACGAGACTAAATCAACTCAATAATTTTGCCACGAAAGACTGGTGAACCATGGAACGAGGCTGAGGCCTAGGATGACGTCATTTTGATACCGTTTTCTAATTTAGTTTCACCTCGTTACTTTGAAACCCCTTCTATTGTGAATGCAAGTACAACATTTAATTTAAAAATCCTCTTAACTGATATATAACAAAATGTGCCTGTGTGTGTTTTGTGTGTGTGTGTGTGTGTGTGTTCGCATGTGTATATAAAGTACGCGTGCGGACGCCGTGTATGTATATCAAATGGATGAGGAAGAGAGTGCGTGTACATGTTTGTAACAAGTATATATTGTGTCATAAAATAACATCTGATTATTACATTTGGGAAATTATGTGGGGATGAGCGAGGGTGTATGTGTCCAATCTCGTTGGTGATGTTAAAATTGTCCTTATTTATATTTTTCTTATCATTATTAGTTTTATTATTATCATTATCATCATCATTATTATCGGCATCATCGTCATCATAATCACCATTATCATCAATTTACTACCTCAAATCTCAATTCTGCTGCTAGCAATTTGGTCAGTTGCAAATACTGGGCTACTATTTCAAATGAGGAAACTACCTTCAAAATACAAAACGATGGAGGTTAGCTGCGGTCATAACATTCCTGGTGACGTATTTTCCGGTTATAGTAAGTAAACTTCCTTTTTAAAAGGCTGTAATCAAGTGGGAACTATTAAGCAGGGTATCATATTCATATCACATGTAAATAACCTGATAGGTTGCAAATATTATGTTTATTGTTTGGCTGTTCGTGCAAATCTATTCTTTCTTTTTTCAGTCAAATTTCAAATAGATGTAAAATCATTTTTATTTCAAAAAGTGATCTAGAATAGCATTAATAGAAACCTTTGTATAACTCGATTTAATGCAAATGCGAGACCAATGCACGGACCTCGCTGACTCCCCTTTATGAAAATTGTATTTGTAACAAATTGAAAACTCTTTTCTCTCTTCCTGTATTGCATCCCTCTCTCTCTCTCTCGCTCTCTCTCTCTCTCTCTCTCTATTCATCTCTATCCCTCTCTCTCTCTCTCTCTCTCTCTCTATCTCTATCTCTCTCTATTTATCTCTCGCTGCGCTTTCTCTATTTCCAACATTTTCCAAGTGCATCTCTTTTCTCCCCATCCTTCTCTCCACGTTATGGTATCAACATGATACGCTTATGTAATTGTTGCTACTCTATTAAATCGTCCATTAATATTACGTAGGCCTATTTTTGAAGAAAAAAACTTTTTTTTATCATGTTTTATACTGGATATATCTTTAAATAAATAAACAAATATGTTGTAGATTTGTGAGCGGGGATTCAGATATTGTCAGCAAACTCAATAACCAAACTGAAATATGATACAAAAGGAAGGATTTGTAGCTCGTTAATGATACCATTTGGTTTCAATTTCAATGTTTTCATTCGAATAGATCCGGAACCTAACACTTTTATCACTCTTGTATGGTCGAGGATGCAAAGTGTTTAAACCACAGTCACTCATTCGCGGATATGCTTAGTTCAGATATCACTGATTTGAGACGGTCCGTCGACAAATGTTAACCGGGGGAGGGAGGTATGATGTGATATGATATGGATTAGACTGGTTGGGGAATGTAAAAATGCTGATATAAATTCCTGAAACAATCAACTGATTAATTATGTTGTAGAACTATCGGTTTTTGATAATTGATCCAACAAATGATTTTAGTGCCAATCCCCCCACCCCCCCCCCCCCCCAAACTCCCCACGCCGTACAAGTACAATGTACACCGCAGGATGAAGTCATATGTATATTTTCTGATCATGCGCGATTGAAGGCGAGGAAAGGCGTGTGTTTCGGACAGAGGAAGCTGTTTGATCAAGATAAGCCTATTATCCACCTATGAAATTTATCTAATATTTGTATCCTTGCATACCGGATTTGCAACGAGAAAGGATCATACCAATTTCCATCAACATCATCGCCTCAAAGTCAATATCAGCATTACACCGTGACCACAACTACGTGCATCAATACGATATCAAAACTTCCTGTGGAACTATTTTCCTGGAGAAAGGCATTGACACCGACACATTATTGCCATATTGGAATTGATTTTTAGTTACACTTTCAACTACCCTTTTGATCAAGGAGGCGAAATGGAAATTTACTATGCGATCTTTGTTTCGCTACTCTTATTATATTTTGCAAAGGCACAGCCTGAACGTAAGTATCGTGACTGTAGTTCTTATTATCTTTTAAAGATTGGTGTAAAAAGAATAGCAGTCTTGTATATACAAATCCCTCTTCTCTGTGGCTAGGATAATAATACGATGGGCCTTTTTCGAAATGTAACCTAATTTATAATTCAGTGCCTTGATACGAATTATTTCATTCACCTATTAGTATGACGAATAATTGTATTTTAATAGTCAGAATGTGAATTGCAAATATTATGTGTTTTTAGTTAGGGCAAGCCAAAATGCTTGTCCTACCTAGCAACAAGTAATGTATGCAATTTTAGTTCAGTCTATCGATATACATTTATTTGGAACATATGAATGAAATAATTTATATTACCGAGGCGCTTCACAAAGGCATGTAAATAAATTTGGTTAAATTACGAAAATGGCCTATTGGCATGAGTGGGGAGCAAAATGGCCAAACTATTGATTGGTCCGAGAGTGTGGAAAATAGGTTATCTTCACAAATATTAAGGGATACATTCATAAAGGACATTCGCATGAGCGAAACCTGCGTTGGTATTATGAAATACAGCTATTCTATTTTGATTTTAGATTATGTTCTCACAATGAAGCCGGTCGCTCTTCCACAGAGGCTCATTCAAAAGGGAAAGAAAAAGAAGAACAACAACTAATGGTAACGGAAAGTATACAATGTCAAGTTGATGATAATATCTAGACATTGACGAAAATTAGTCAGTATTATAGAACGTCCTGTTTGTCTCAGGCCTGACCCCATATACTTCAATGGAGCTATCAATTAGAATAATGCATTTCGCCATATATGGTGCATGATACTGACTATAATGTTTATAACAATTTAAAAAGGACGTGCATCAATCCTGTAATCTTAAAACGCAAAAACGTTAGGTCCGAGTTTAGATTTGAACCATTATCCCTTGGATTGAGAGTCAAAAGAATGAACCACTATACCTGTCATATATATTTTGTTTAAAGATGATGCAACCTTCATAATGTCAAGCATTTCCTAATAAAACCAAATAATTTCTCTAATTACAGCTTGGATTTGCACCTTCCAAGATGATGAGTGTGATATTTCCCAAAGCCTGGCAGACGATTCATATTGGTATATTCCAGACAACGGTAGGTGACTAACTGCAAATTATATGAATGTATTTGTCATATTTATGTTTTGCCTCAATTATTATTTTCAAGTGTTGAAATTTAATTGTTTGAATTTTCTTTTTGTAAAAATCTTTTCATTTCAACCACTGACTTCGATGAAATTATAATATGTCTTTCAGTCAATCTATAAATCACCCTTAATTAACGATAAATGACATTTAACTGGCTCAAACAATTTTTGTTTCAATTTAACTAAGTGACAAACTGCAGTACTCGATTGGGTCTTACTTATTTGTAAGTTTTTAATATAGTAATATATTGCCTACTGGAAACGGGTCATTCATGTATTAAATCTATGGAAATTTGTGAGATTCATTATTCAACGGGCTCAACCGGCTTTCTTACTCCATCATGACGTTTTGATGGGCTATACCAAGAAATGCAGAGAGCAAAGCCTGTTTTGTATTGGTTGATAATTTCTCAGCTTTTTCACGGCATCCAACATTTGCTGATGCTACCCAGAATAAATAGTTGTCAAGTGTTGATTTCCCACCCTTTCACGTGGTGGCTTTATCTCACTTAAGAGTAAATTATTGTTTCATTTGTGTCGTTCAATAACTGAAAGAAGAGACCATGAGATATTCTCATGTATGGAAATACCCTGAAATATGTTGACGTATCTCTTTGGGGATATTTTTTGTCCAACAACCAACTTTTAATAGTTCTCAACTTGTTAATTCCAGCCAGCACAAATACATTTTCTGGTCAAGTTTAAAAATTCGAGTATATTATATCTTCAAATTTTGGAAAGTTCGTTTAATAGAAGAAATCATGATCTGTTTTCTTGAAAATATACTCTATTTTTTTAATTTGGGGTGACCGTTTCCAACCATTCGGTGTTATCTATTTGAAGTGAATCAAATTAAATATTTATGTTTTGGTTAAGTGTGGTAGACCTAATCAACCCCCCACCCCCACTCCCCAAAGTAACACAAAGAATGACCAAGTCCGTGATGTTGATTAACAATTTGCATCTCTCACTTCACAGATGGAAACCGTTACTACAGACCAGCTATTAACCAAGCAAGTGGTATATATTACGGTTCTGGAACATTTGCCACCTTCTTTCTTCCACCTGCATCGTATCCGAGTTCTGGACGTGGTATACTGTCATTCCGTTTCTTCTTCAACACCGTCGACCAGCCTCGTTATCAAGGATATATTAACGTCACAACGTGTGAGGATGGGGATCCAGTACTAATATGTTACAAAGTCTCCTGGTATTCCATAGAAATCCCGTTCGCCTGTGGGTCTAATACTGTGAAGGTATGTGTAATGTGATCGCAAAGATTTTCAAGAAACAAGTCAGGGAAAATGCCTGTAAAAATCATGCTCGGATCAAGGAACTTGTTAATGACTTGTCCTTGTTCTCACATGCAAAAAACAACCCAGGTTGATTCTGTGGAACGTCTTTGCGATCGTCCTGATTTTATTTCAAGGAAAATAAAATACACAGGGGTGACTATGGCTACATGATCGCCTTCTGCTTTGTGTGATGACGATTTTTAAAACTACAAATAATAATAATAATAATAATAGCTAGTTCTTATATAGCGCTTTTCAGGACCGGGGGCCCTCTCAAAGCTCTTTACAGATGTATATATTATTACCCCGGTCATAGGATTCAGGCTTACCCGCACACAATGTGTGCACATTCTCCACTCCCTGGGGAGCATTCCAGCCAGGCGTCTTTTTTACAAGCGCACACTTGCTAATCTAACCACATTAGATTTCGCATCCTACAGGGTACCCATTTAACACCTGGGTGGAGAGTGGCAAATGTAGATCAATGTCTTGCCAAAGGACATTAGTGCCGCGGTGGGACTTGAACCGCGAACCTTGTGATCCACAGTCCGGTGACATATCCACACTGGTCTGCGGCTACATTATCGTCTATTGCTTGGTGGAAACATTTCAATATATTCTGCATAATCCCATGTGCAGTCCCGTAAGGCTTTTTCAATATGTTTAGAAATAAACCAAAGGCTTATAACGACAACACCTATTGCAGCATCATTCACACTCTCTACCCTCTTTTTTTTTTTTTTCTTCTTCTTCTTTTTTTTTACATTCATATTTATTGGTTTTAATGTAAAGTGTATACGTTTAGTTTAATGCAGTGCATAATTAGAAGGAAAAAGATAATTACACGCTTAATGCATAATTAATATGAACTAGGTAGACAAGACATAAGAAGGCCGCAGTGTAAATGAGTTAAACTGATTTACTGGTTATTAAACTATCTGCTTTCGAATAAGGTCGAAATTTCGATGCAGCATTTTGTGTAAAAATTTTGCTCATGGAACCATTATTTTTTCATTTTCATGTAAAATTATATTAAACCCTTTACCATCTATTCCATGACTTTATATAGATTTCTTTCACCGCTTTCCGAGGATATTCTCGAACCAACATCGGAGTTGATGATATCAAAGTAACGGAAATACTAACTACAACAGCAGGTAATACATACCATATATACGGGATATGGCTAAGACGGTTACGATGCATTTTTGCCCACCAGGACAACACAAAGTCTTGGGAAATTTTGAAGATTGGGTGGATATGATAGATTTGGATGCCCCTGTTGATGTATTATAAGCACTAGAAAATTAGCCTCTAAAACACTTCTGCTTTCGAGAAAAATGTTGATAAATTTCAAATAGCGGCTACGGCCGTACAATGGTAGCTGCGACCATGAAAATCAGATTTAATATTCGTGATATATAATTTCCAAACAGGAATAGCTAATCGGTGTTTAATTTTCTTGGAAATATGAACCCTGTTCCTTTTCCGGTACTTCATACCAACGTTTACTCTCCGAACTATAAATCTTACCTTCTTGAAATTTTGAACCTTCGAAAATTATTTACTTAAAAAATAAACGACATATAGATCCGTCATGGCCGTACACTACACAGTTATAAACGTTCGTTACCCCAAAAAATAATTTCCTATCAAGGAAAAAACTGAAATAATCAGCCGTTGTTGACGAAATTCGAATTTCAGACTAAAAAAAGGGAAACTAGGACAACCATACAACAAAATTAAACATGTTTCTTGTCATACATAATGTACATTTTATTTATTAAAACATCAGAATTGATTGTCATCTCTAGATTCACATTTGTTCGTAAAGTTTCCATGCATAGTGAGAACGATGACACTGTCTGCCAATGTGGAGAGGAGCAGACGTGTCGTCCAAATAGTGAATTTTCACATAAATTGTGTCTCTTTGTATCTTGCATGTGTACATAGAAGTCGTGACCTCTGCAACTCCACAGGTAACAAGGGGCCAGACCTTGAAACCCACCATCACACCTTTACTCACATCTTCTTCAATTCCAATATATACTGATGCTACGACGAGATATAACATGTCTACAGGCAGTATACTTGAAAATGCAGGGAAAGGTATTTCAATATTCATTTCCATATTCAAGTACTTTCATTATTTTGTAAGCCTAGACACATATCGATGCTTATTCGACAATGGCAGATTAGTGCAATAAATACCGATAATATTTTATCATTTAATTCGATTAGATTCAAGATGATTTCATTAGTTCAATCATATGGAAACAAGGATCCTATGAAACGAACAAAAGAGAAATTAAGGAGAAATTAAATAATGTGTGTATGAGCTCTAGTATAATGTTGTTATTCAATTTACTAATATAGGAATTTTAGTATACTTTCGTGATCTCGAGCGAATGTCTACAAACAAGTACCGTAAAACACTGTGCCGCATGTGGAAACCATTTATGAAACTTTCTGTTTCGACATGCGAATGTTTACAAACAGATACTTGAGGTAGGAGATGTCAATTTTGAATGGTTCTAGAACGACCGAAACCGAACGAAATATTTTCTTTTGTATTCAATCTATCATGCAGGTAGCATAAGATCTGATCGCGTGATTCTCCCTGTTGTATCTTCAATCTGTATTGTACTTCTTATTTGCTTGATTGTGACTGGCTACGTCTTCTGGAGGAAAAGGTAATATTACATTATTTTGCAATAAAAATATTCTGACATTGATGGCAGTTGTAACTCAAACGATATTTTGTGATGCTCTTTACGTATATATTTTTTTTTATTGTTTTCCTTTGGCTACTTTATATTCTGGTGTTTTTAATCGATATGCATCGAAACCACTAATTTTAAGTAATAATGATAGTGCCTTCGTATGCAGTACTCGTATCGGTCTTGCTGTGACAATTTACACATGGGTGGAATGTAGCAAATGTCTTGCCAAAGAATAGAAGTGCCCGACTGTCATTCGAACTCCGTGCCATCTGATCCATGGTCAAGAGCTAACATCATATAGACGACATCACATCCACACCCCCTCTCCAACAACATTGCTTTGAAATTGTATTCAGGGCTATTCATTCTTATTTCGATTACCAATCTTACCATCATGCATGTCACAAGACCAACATCAATACGATTTATTTATACTATTTGAATTGCTTCAACAGATACAGACCAACTCCTATCAAGGAAAAAGACTCAGATGACAACGGAGACAAGTTGTACACTAATCCAGTATACTCCTCATACGATAACGCACATTCCCAACCGGATCTTCTTGTCGGCACCCCTACTGGTCACCTCTCTCAAGAGACGCAACAGGCTCAAGAAACTATCGACGCATACGAAGAATTCGAAGGAGACCATAACCCACAGTCAGGCAGGCAGGGTAACACCGAATGCGACGGGGATAACCCAACAGACATCAAAGACAAAAATCTACCTGTGCACGCTGTTCTTTACGATGACGAAGAGTACAACGCGATTGACTTCAATCGCGACAAATTTCCCAAAACAACCCGAAACTGTACCAAATCTCAAACCTACAAACCGAGCCTTCCTGAAAACTCAAGCGAAACGGTCACGGATGATACATTTGATTATGGTGTCCTCGAAAGTCCAGGAGTACTAGGGAATGGTAAATACAGCTCTAAAACCAAGGTCATTGAAGATCCTAAGAGGTCAACCGCGAATTCCAAAGCTCCACGTTATGAGAACTCTGAACCTGGAGTTCCGAGCGCAGCAGATCAAATGGAAGAAGGACCAGAATATTACAGCTACCAAGATTCTTTACCAGTTCGCCCCGAGGACGAGTCCTCCACTGAACATGCACGAAGTGCTGCTGAGGCGCCACGTGAGGTCGATTTTGAACCTATATATAGCGATGAAGTTTATGGTGAATTTTAGTAGTACGCAGTTATTGTATATGAATATATATTAAATTCAGCTGCTAACCCTACAAATGTGTACAGAGTAACAACGCATTTTAGACAATTTAGAGTATAATATAATAGTAGGTTCTTGTATAGCGCTCGTGTCTGTCAGACTTGACACTCCTAGCGCTCCAGAATTGTAGAAGGTAAATTAGTGAATCTTGTAGATAACATATGCAATAACATATGCAATATAAATGAAAGTGTGATCATTTTCGTCAGTTCTGAGGGGGTTTGGGTGGTTTTTTGAAAAGTGTCGTGAATTTGGCAAGAAATCTTTCACCTCATACTACTTTGCGCGTATTAGTGCATGTTATTTTTCGTTCCGTTTCTTCTTCTTTTTCGTCTTTTGCGTCGTACATCATTAATAGCATTCGATTTCTTAGAAAGAAGATAATGCGTTGTTCGCGTTAACTATTTACTACGAATGTGTTGAAGAGAAGGTGGTGGCCCACATTGTCTCATTGCACGCATAGTTCACAAAGTCGTTGAAACACCTTTGGAAGAAGTACTATTTGCGTATGAGGAAAAAATTGATTTGTCCCTATTTATGTTTCTTCAGAATTCGACATAATTATTCAAGTTTACATTTAGACAAATTCAACAAAGTCTCTATTTCAACCAGGCCACCTTTTATTCTTGAGTTACAAAAACAAACAAAACGAAATTTGTGCAAGAGCTATGAGTGATCTAGTTGTTAACTTTATTTATATAGTACCTCCTGTTACTGCCTGGTACATTGCATGTATTGTATATACATTGGTTACAGATGTTTAAAAACAAAAATCATATTTAACTTTAAAAATAACTTCATTAAACCAAATCAAGTTCTTTCATTTAAAATAATGTCTTGACTATTAGAAAAGGGGACGTGGGCATTTGCAGTAACACGCTAACAGTGCTCCATCATTAATGGTATACTGTTTGAATAATTAGTAAATAGAAAAGTGTGAGCTAGCATACAAATGTAATCTATCTATACAATTATAATTGCTTCTTAATATAGTGGGTTTGAATGTGTGTTTCATTATTTCAACAATGATGTGTAATCGTCCATGACCTAGCATCGTTTATCCATTCATGAATGAACCTGCATTCAATCAGCAGATGCATGAGATTTACTGTATTATTACCAACGCTCCTTCTCTCCCCTTTCCTTTTCTTCTCTACAGGTCACTCTTATTTTTATAAAGTTTTATTTATATCGTTGTATCTAAGTTGAGGGGTGCGGGCACGTCAAGCTACTTTGCTTATTTCTGTAGCCCTCCGGCATCTAATTTATGTTAATTATGCATTCAATATATTTGTTTAATTTCGTTTATTATCTGTATAAAATTATATACATTTGAAATAATGTATCAAACCATATTATGCTCATGAAAATGTATGATGAAAAAGAAAAAAAAAGATGCAGAAACCAATAAATCAAATCAAATCAAATCAAATCAAATTATAATGTGCCACATGTGAGGGTTCTAGGCCTGTTATTGATAAAAAGTGCAAGTATAAAAAAAACGTTACTGAATGCTGGGTAGTGTAGCGAAACATATTTACCATGAACCGTGATGCATACTTATACTGTATACTTGCACGTATGAATTTAACAACGGATGCGTGCAGTAAGACCTGCACAATGCTCTTGAGAATTTATACGGAGGGGGGGGGGGCACGGTTCACGAAATAGATGGTGACTGCTTGTTTTTCGGGTCAAGGTTAACTCTTTATGCGCCACTTAAAAAACCCCCCTGTGCCACATTCTTTTAGGGTCACACATTTCGAGGGAATCTTTATTGACTCTGCTGAATCAAGAGGCTATAACTCTTCACTGGATGATCATGATGAAAAATATTGTGCAGCAAAGTTGTAGACCGGAAAACGTGCTTTTCGATGAACCGTCATTTGTTATATTTTGAATTATCATTTTTATAATAATCATAATTATATAATGTTTAATTTTTCTTATTTACGGCAGTTTTTTATCCCTCTAGAATTTCTTATTTAGCAATGATAAGACATCTTCAAATCGAATCTATTAGAAAGGTGGACTTCTTACCTTTCTTTACATACCTTGCTCAAGTATTCTAACAATTCAGAAGGTTAGTATTTAGGTTGTTGAAGAAAAGAAGTTCAATAGGGAGAGACTTGAAAGTACCCCGCTCAGCCACCCTTGACAATGGGCTAATCTGCCCATTGAAATCCCTATTACCCCAGGTTATTGTCAATGTCCGGTTTAGCGGGGCATGAAAAGGGACGTCGTGGGGATGTTTTTCTTTGTTGTGCCATGATAAGTCAATAAGAAATAAGAGAATGTTATTGATTTTGCCCACTGGTATGAGCATGTAAAAATGGTATAGGCATAATATATTATATGTGATATACATGACATAATCAGCATCTTATTGAAATGTCTCATTATGAATGTTCACCGCATCTGTTCTCTCACCTTCTTTACCCCTCAATAAAATTGATTTCAAGTACATTTATCACAGCCATAGATATACAAAGAAAGAATGAATCAATCTTAAAATATAAACTATATTGCATTGTTTTCCATTTACTTTATTGTGAGAGAGCTTATTATCAGAAATGATTGACGAGTGGAGTATGCAATGAATAAAATATGGAGAACGGACGTGAGAGACATTATGAGAGAGAAATAGTGATATGAAATGAAAGGACTTTACTGTGAATAAAGATTATAAGAGAAAGAGATAAAGATGACGGCAAGACAGGATACATATTGATACGAAAATAACAATAATAATGAGATAGAGATGACGGAAAGAAAGAGAGTAAACACTGATAGCATAAGAATGAATAAAGATAATAAGAGAAAGATATAGAGATGACGGCAAGACATAGGGTACATATAGATAGGAAAATGATAATAATAATAAGATAGAGATGACGGAAAGAAAGAGAGTAAACACTGATAGCATAAGAATGAATAAAGATAATAAGAGAAAGATATAGAGATGACGGCAAGACATAGGGTACATATAGATAGGAAAATGATAATAATAAAAAGATAGAGATGACGGAAAGAAAGAGAGTAAACACTGATAGCACAAGAATGAATAAAGATAATAAGAGAAATATATAGAGATGACGGCAAGACATAGGATACATATTGATAGGAAAATAATAATAATAATAAGATAGAGATGACGGCAAGAAAGAGAGTAAACACTGATAGCATAAGAATGAATAAAGATAATAAGAGAAAGATATACAGATAACGGCAAGACATAGGGTACATATAGATAGGAAAATGATAATAATAATAAGATAGAGATGACGGCAAGAAAGAGAGTAAACACTGATAGCATAAGAATGAATAAAGATAATAAGAGAAAGATATAGAGATGACGGCAAGACATAGGGTACATAATTATAGATAGGAAAATGATAATAATAATAATAAGATAGAGATGACGGAAAGAAAGAGAGTAAACACTGATAGCATAAGAATGAATAAAGATAATAAGAGAAAGATATAGAGATGACGGCAAGACATAGGGTACATATAGATAGGAAAATGATAATAATAATGAGATAGAGATGACGGCAAGAAAGAGAGTATTACACTCATAGCATAATAATGAATAAAGATAATAAGAAAAAGATATACAGATGACGGCAAGACATAGGGTACATATAGATAGGAAAATGATAATAATAATAAGATAGAGATGACGGAAAGAAAGAGAGTAAACACTGATAGCATAAGAATGAATAAAGATAATAAAAGAAAGATATAAAGATGACGGCAAGACAGGATACATCTTTCTTTCATTAGTTTTATTCATTCTTATTCTATCACTGTCTACTCTCTTTCTTGCTGTCATCTCTAGCTCTTTCATTAATTTTTATTCATTCTTATTCTATCAGTCTACTCTCTTTCTTGCTGTCATCTCTATCTCTTTCTTTCATTATTTTTATTCATTCTTATTCTATCACTGTCTACTCTCTTTCTTGCTGTCATCTCTATCTCCTTCTTTCATTTTTTTTATTCATTCTTATTCTATCAGTCTACTCTCTTTCTTGCTGTCATCTCTAGCTCTTTCATTAATTTTTATTCATTCTTATTCTATCAGTCTACTCTCAGGGAACACTTTTATCACTAGAGTCTTCGTCACTGCTCGATTCGTCGGAATCAGAGTCCATGCTCCATGCTTCCATAGTAACAAGATCTCGAGCCTCCTCTACACTAAACACACGTTGACGTTTTCCAGCAGGTGCCATCGTAACATCAGTAAAAAAAATCCAAAGAAAACCGCTAAATACACGGTAATTTCGAATGTAACACTATGAAGAAAAACAGTTTACCGGAAAGTGTGCGATGTATACAATGTAAACAATAGTAAACGCAACGCGTGGCTACACACTGCGAGCGGTATTATGAATGTCTAATTGACTCGTATACATCTGTGCAAAAATGCGAAGTTGGCACGCCTACGTCCGTGCAAATCGGCGAACAAAGCAAACAAAGAGTTAAAAACTATAGCTCCTCGGTAATATCTCGATACTGATCATTTAACTGCTGGTAATAATACAAAGAAAAAAAATATGTTGACAACTTTCAGAAGAACTCGAGATTCCCCTCTGACCTTGGGCAATGACTCTCAACTAATTATGAAAATATTGTACAATTTAGCTTTTGGGTTTCGATACCATTTTTTTGTTTAAATAAAGCCTACAAATTATATTAACATTACAATCAGCTTCAAGACATTGTTTCTTTGTCTCCTTTGTATTTAAGCAGTTGCGAAAGTTGTTTTTTCTTCGAAAATGAAGTTGTATTTCTTCGATAAATTGCCCATTATATCTGTAATGGATATATGGAAATACGGTTTAAAGGTACTATGTCCAATTTGCAGGCCAAAAAATGAAAAAGTTAAATTCCTACAGCATTTGAAAGATAATACTAATTTAGAACTTCCCTTAAAAGGTGAGGCTTAAAAATGTCTTCAAGTGGGAAAACAACGACTATCAGTTGTCAAATCGACTTTAGGGCTATAGAGCCCGAAAGTAATAGTCTTGATTTTCAGACAATTGTACCGAATGGTCATACGTTTTATGCTACGCAAAGATTCAATCAGTTTAATCTTGGCCATCACAAGAAGTGGGTTATTGATGTAGACAAATGCTCATGTACCATTTACAACTCTTTTCATGTATGTTATTACCAAAGAAGAAAAAGCCAGTCAGTCACTCAATAGTGTCTGACAGTGAAGTCTAGCAAGTAAACGGGTTTCCTTGCATAATTTGAATATGAGGACACTGCTAACGTTTAAATTTCACAGATAGGACATACATGACATATGCATAATTCCTGCAAAGTTCTACAGCATTTGAGGTTGGCTGCAAAAGGGACATAGTACCTTTAATGGGGAACTGGTGCAATATCATCAGCATTGCGAGAGAAAATTGTTTAGAGTAATTGTTAAAACCACACTCCGGTGTTTCGGAAGTGGCTGTTTTTCTAGTTTCCGTTTAACTAGATATGGATCCGCTTTAAATGCAAACCTACGTGACCGTGGAAACATAGGGTAGTTTTAAAGTACTTTTAACAGAATATAGTATCACTCTTATCAACCTATTCTTATTTTTGTCTTTTTTTCCCATTTCATTTACCTAAAAGTTTTCGCTCTCCGTTTAGCCAAATTATAATAAGGCAGTATCTTTCCTCAAAAAAGTTAAGTTTTTGACTTTCCAGTTTTCTCTTGAAATCTTTAACAGGTTTTGTATTGTTCTAGTCGCCACCAAGAACAGTGTACTAAACAAACAAAGGGAGATCCCATACAGATGCTACCAGTAGGAACATTGCCAAATTTCTTTCTCTATCATCAATTCTTTGTATGCGTTCGATAATAATTGTATTTATTTCCTTGTTCACCAACCGAATAATTATTATCCTTATTACTATTACTATTATCATTATTACTATTATCATTATTATCATTATCATTATTATCCTCAATATTATTACTGTGATTATTATGAATGTTATTATGACTTTAATCATCATCATCATTATGAATACTATTATCAATAATATCGTATCCTACCCCTTACTCCCTC